CGAACGCAGTTGTTGACCACCCCTGATGATGCCTCATATGGACAGAACCACTTGCGTGACTGACTCATCTCACTAAAGTGAAAGCACTCTGACTCTGAGACTTACCGCTCAGCAGATCCTCTATTCAACTGATTATAGAAGAGGTCCTCACCGGCCTTTTCGCACAATGCCCCTACTAATGTGAAGCCCAAATTGAAAAAAGGGGAAGATTCTCAAAGTCGCCAACAATCGCGCGCACGCCAACGCGAATTGGAATTTCATGCGAGCTGGAGATCTTGCATTTTTTCCTCATGAGGACTCCGCGGGCGGCAACGGGGGGCACCATCAGATCCGTCTCGTCATTCCAGTCTCACTGATACGTGGATCTTCCCCCACCCCTATCGTATTGGTGCTGTGAGCACGCCTCGTTCAGGGCCGGTACCGTCCTCTCGGTGAGGCGAGGCGGCCGAACAGGGAGTAGCCGGCCCGTGCGTCCTCCTCCTGGATCCTGCTACTCTCCTGGATCCTGCTACTGAGCCGGCGCCTCGGGATAACACCTGGAGGGGAGATTTGAACCCCGAACGCCCCTTGCTTTCACTCACAGGGGACGTCCTTGCTTTCACTCACAGGGGACGCCCTTGCTTTCCGCTCGGGCATTCTCCTGGATCCTGCTACTGAGCCGGCGCCTCGGGATAACACTTGGAGGGGAGATTCGAACCCCGGACGCCCTTGCTTTCACTCACAGGTGAAGCCCTCGCTTTCGCTCGGGCATGTGTGCCATCATCACCGGCGTGCGGCATGAGTGACGGCCGATCGCCGCCACCTTCCTGCGAGGCTGAGGATACTCGGCAATGCGACGTCTGTTTTGAGGCGCGACCCCTCCAAGACTTCGTGAATGTCCATCGGGGCGATGCCACGCCACCGCCCGACGGCCGTGTGCAGGGCCGTCGCCGTCGGGATCCCCCCGTCTACGAGGTCTGCCGCTACTGCGTGGTGCAGCTCGGCGACCGGCGACCGTGGCAACCCTATCGGCACCGCCATTTGGAGCCGATCCCTGCGCGCTGAGGCTGCCAGCACGCCAACTGCCCGATGTGCCGCCAGGCGTTCTGCCCCGAGTGCGTCCTCGGTGTGGACTCTCTCGGTGAGGTCCCCGCTGATCCGCTCGCCCCACCTCCGGCCAACCCCGACCACCACGAGTGCCCCGGGTGCTCGAACCCTTACCCGGCCGACGCCTTCGAGCGCGTCCCGTGTGCGTGCCGCTCCTGGCTGTGCCGGGAGTGTCTGCGGCAGGCACACCGCGATCGGTCGGGCGCGCTCGTCCGCCCCTACAGCCACCTGCCGGGTCACCTCCACTGGCACCAGATCCTGATGAACCCCCTGCAGCGGCATCCCGCGCAGCTACGAGCCCATCCACTCCCGGGCCACCTTGAGGGCCTCCTGCCGCTGCCGGAGTTCTCCCGCCGCATGCAGCGTGTACACCAAGGCCTGTGGCGCCTCAGTGCCGGGCAGTGGCACTGGCTGGCGAACCCAGCGGACTACGAGCTGGAGGACCTGCTGCGGATCGAGACGCTGGCCGGTGCGTCCTTCCCTTACATCCTCCCCTCGCTTCGCCAGTTCGTCGCCCATGGCGCTACCCTGGTGTCCCATGGAGGAGCGGTGCGCCCTCTCTTCCGCGTGATCGACGAGAGCGTCGAGGGGAACAACTGCCTGCTTCGAGCCGTCCTCCGCCAGCTTGAAGCTCATCGTCGGCGCGCAGCAGACGGTCTGCCCCCCGCGAACCACCTCGACGGCGAGCTGCCGTCCCCTGCCGCCGTTCGCCGGCGCCTCGTGGATGACCTTCGGCGGCGCAGCGGTGCGGGTGAATTCGCCGACCTCCAGCCGCGGGGGATCGGCACCGACGCTTATATCGAAGGCATCCGGCTTGGAAGAGGCCTAAGCGAGATGGAGGTGCAGTCGGTGGCCAACGTGGTCGGGGCGACCATCGTGCTCTGCCAGCTACACGAGCGTGCGTCTCTGGAGACAGCGGGCCCCCTCCCTGTGGCAATCCGGCTGTTCGTCGACCCAGAGCAACCCTTTCGAGTCGCCGGCAGCTCCGCCATCCATGTGCTCTACATGCCCGGCCACTTCGCCTCCATGCTGCCTGCTGACCGGCCGCACGACGACTGGATGGAGGCCGACGACGCCGGCGGCTTGGGAGGTGCCAGGGCTCCTGGAGGCCCCGCCTCGCCGATCGTGATACATGACGACCCTCCAGGCGACCCCGCCGCCCCTCCCCCACCCGCCCCGCCACCACCCGCGATGACGGGAACGGGCCGGCCGACGCGCACAGCGAGGAAGTCCCAATGGACGTCGATGACCTGGAGGCGGAGTCGGCGGCTTTGGCGGCGGACCTGGCACTGGCGGCGTGCATCGACAATAAGGGGCCAGGAGCCGAGCGACGCCAAGACCGCCGCCGCCAACGGCAACGGCAACACCGCCGCTCTCGACGCCGCCGGCTCGGCTCGGGAGCCCACTTGGCGATCATTTCTCCATCGGCGAGCAGCAGGGGCGAATCCCTACCACCCCGGCCGCCACGCGTCGCCCCCCCGGCTCGCCCTCAACCGTCTCTGGATGAGCTCATCGCTGCTGAGGGAGCCCCACCAGGCCGGCTCGAGGTCCTGGCCGACATGACTTCTCGAGAGGGCTTCGACCCCTCGAACACGGCCCCTTCCCAGGGCCTCCACGACGTCGGGGATATCCTTGATACATGGAACGACGCACCGAGCAGCTCGGCCGCCCCCACGGCCAACGCTGGCGACACGAGGGTGGACGAAGAGGAGGACACGTGTGTGCGTGGAAGAGGTGTGGATGGCTCTAACGGAACCGACGAACCGAGCCGCACGGGCACCAGGAGGTGCCGCGATCGCTCGCTGCGGCGGGCTGCGCGAGATACGGCGGGCGGGCGATCTAGACGTCGATCTGGGCGGGCGAGAGGGGACAACCCTTGTCTGAGCTGCGGGAGTTTTTGTCATGGGCGCTGCGGTGAGGAGGCGCGGCGACAACGTGAGAACGAGGAGCAACGACGACGTGAGACCGAAGCGCGCCGGCAATGTGAGACCGAGGAGCAACGGCAACGTGAGACCGAGGAGCGGCGACAATGTGAGACTGACGGACGGTGCCGTTGCGAAGACGCAGACCAGCGGCGCCGTGAGCAAGATGGCCCCCAGGAGGCGGGCGAGGCTGCCCAGGGCGCAGGGGGTGCCAGCCGTCAACAGCCAGGAGAGCGACGCGCCGGTCGGCCGCTGTCAGGGGGCGGTCGGGCATCCCAACGGTGGTTCCTTCGCCGACCGCCGGCAGGAGGACCGGGCCCGCCTGGTGGGCAGGGCCCTCCCGGTGGGCCGCCTGGAGGCCCTCCTTCTCCCCCCCGCCCCCCACGAGCTCCGTTGACGGCCATTGGCACCAATCGCATCGAACCCTGCCGGCCCCAGGGGTGGAGTTTTTGACTGGCCGGTCTGAGGCCGATCACTTTGCGGACTTCCAACAAGCCATCCGCTCCATCGAGCGGCTCCCGCAGTGTGCACGGCTCGCCCTGCGGGAGGTCGTAGAGGCTGTGAAGCGGTTGTTTGCGTCGACGATGGCGGGCGACTCCAACAATGCCTGTCTGGTGCTGCTCTATATCCCCGTCCTGCTGCTCTTCCCCATGAACCGCGGCGGCACACAGGGTGGTAGCGCTCGGCACACAGGGTGGTGGCGCTCGTAAGTGGGGCACCTGTCTTCTTCGGTTCTGGCGAGGCGAGTGGGAGGGACTGCTCAGCGAAGCACGACAGTTTGCCCCTCAAGGCCGTCACGTCTTTGCGCCGGCCGGGGAGGGTCCTGTTGATGGCGAGGCAGGACCCTCATTGGATGCAGTCAGACGGCGAGCAGCAGCACGCCTTGTTGGCCTCGGCGAGCTCTCTCGCGCGGCGAGTCGCCTCACATCGGCGCCCATTGCGGCGGCAAATCAGCAGACCCTGGATCAGCTGCGCGCACTCCACCTCAACGCCGCTCCCATCGACAGGCCCGCCGCGCTGGCGGGTGACGCCCCTCGCCTGGAGACCAACCGCGACTTTCTTTTGGCTGCACTGAAGACCGCGCTACACGGGGCGGCCGTTGGACCGACCGGCTGGCGGTATGAGCACCTTCAAGTGCTCCTTGGCGAGGCCCATACCAATGCAGAGGCCGTACCCGTTCTCAAGTTCGTGCAGCGGATGTTAGACGGCGACTTGCCCCCACTGGTGACGAGACTACTGGCTGCCACCCGCCTGTTCGCCTTGGAGAAGCCGGGGGGCGGTGTGCGACCCATTGCCATTGGCGACGTGCTTCGTCGGTAGGTGACTCGAGCGCTGTGCATGCAACACAAGCTGGAGTTCGAGAAGGAGTTCCGGCCCCACCAGTTTGCTGTCGGCACGTCAGCTAGCGGCGGGAAGCTCTCCCGAGCGGCGCAGACTTATATCCAGACGCAAGACGCCGTTGGCCACGATGCGGACGGGCCGCTCATCACTCACACCCTCCTGTCCCTCGACTGCCGCAACGCCTTCAACGAGATCAGCCGTCAGCGTATCATGGACGAGCTCGCCGTCAAGCATCCGGCCATGATCGCCTTCTTCTGGCAGTTCTACGGCACAGCTGCGCCATTGTGGTACACGATGGAGGGCGGGCGAGTTGAGACCATCTACAGTCGTCAAGGCGTACAGCAGGGTGATGCGGCAGGCCCCTTCCTTTTCTGCCTCGCCTTTCAGCCGGCCCTCCGTCGCCTGCAAGAGCAGTTCCCCGCTGCGCTTATCGGGGGCTTCATGGATGACGGGCTGGGTGGGATGGACGAATGAGATGTCCCCTCCTTTCTGACAGCTGCCGATGCTGAATTCCGCACTATCAGCCTGGTGCTGCGGCTGGACAAGTGCCATGCGTGGTCTCCGCATTGGCGCTCGGCCGCTGACCTTCCGACTGCCATTACGAGCCGAGGTGTGCGCGCGTCCACCAAAGGGATCATCCTCCTGTCCGCCCCGATCGGCACCCCGGCTTTCATCGAGCGCACAGTGAATGAGGTCGTCGCCAAGCATCAGCGCCTCCTCGACGCCGTCGTGGCCTTTGCTGTCGACGATTGGGATCATGCAGTGCAGGGAGCGAACCCCTCCTTCGCTACTGTGGGTCCCCTTGCTTCCTCTACTGGTGCCGCCTTCTTGCCCCCTCCTCGTCGCTCTTAGCGGCCACCCATGCACATGATGCTGCGAAGGTTACCGCGTTCACCAGCATCCACCGCACGGGCGCCCTATCTACTTCGGCACACCGGTAGGTGCAGCTCCCAATCCGGTTGGGGGGCTTCGGGCTGGTGTCGTCTGCGCGTGTCGCGCCGGCCGCTCACCTAGGGTCCGTGGCCGTCACCGTGGGGGATGTGTGGGATCGTTTTCGTGGGCAACTCTGGATGCCCGAGTCTGAAGCCTCTCTTCTCCAGCTGGAATGGCTTGTCCGGCGGCATCCGCCCGCATCGATTTCTCCGCATCCCTCCCCTCTATCGCCATCCCCCCTATCGCGCAGCTCATCGCATGCTCGCAAGCTCGGCTGCAGCAGAAGATTTCCGCGGCCCTCGCAGAGAAGGACTTCGACACTCTCTTTCAGTCCTTCCCGGCTGGTAGCCGTGATCGATGCCACCTTCTCTCCTACCTGAGGCCCCTGTCGTCCGGCTGGCTGTCGGCCATCCCCGCATATACCCGAAGTGACAAGCGCAAGTGCTTGAACAACTACGCCTACCGCCTTGCCACGGCTCTCACCCTCGGCATCACTTTCCCCCTCGCCAGCCTCGCATCGTCATGCACGTGCGGAACGGCCATCGACGCCTTGAGGGACCACTTCTTCCTCTGCAGCCGCGCAACGGCGGAGCGCGTGTTCAAGCACAACACTCTGCTGGACGTCTTCAAGGCCATCCTTGCGGAAGTGGGCATCACGGCTGTCACAGAAGTGCCCCTGCGCTCTCTCGACATCACCCCCCCAAACGCCCAGCCCAACAGTCAGCGCATGGACCTCTTCTTCCCCATCGACGGCGAAGGTGTCCTGTGCGACGTCACGGTGGTCCATCCGTGTCGGCCCGAGAACTCCACCGCTCACCACACTCAGGTCAACCGCAGCCATGCACGTCGGCCGGGCGGCATTGCAACTGCGGGGGCGGAGCGGGACAAGGACCGCAAGTACGGTGCCAGCTGTTAGCAGAAGGGCTACACGTTCGTGCCTCTAGCGGCGGAAAAGTTCGGCCGTTGGAGTGGAAAGACTCTCACCCTGCTTCGCCACCTGGCGCGACACCGCGTCCCTCCACCCGCCAGCTCTGCAGAAGATCATGCTTTTTTTCATGAGGGTGTCATGAACTATTGGGGGTAGTGTCTGTCGGTCGCGCTGATGCGCTGGAATGCTTTTTCAAGTGTCCTGCCGCGCACACCATGCGGCCGATGCTCGAACATAGCAACGGGCAGGTCTGTTTCCTGAGGACCTCATCTCTCGAGGGCCCTACAGGGCGCAAACCCGCACGTTTGCATGCCAGGACCGACCGTGAGGGATTGGTTTGGGAATGTGGTGTTAAGGGTTGAGTTTGGGCTGCATGGTGGTTTGGTTGTGCGTGCGGTAGTCGCTTATGTGATTGCGTTTGGTAGGCCGTTCGATTTCTGTCGGACTGCTGCTGTCATTCATGTCGTGTGGTGCGGTTGTGCTTCTCTGATTGCCTACGCCTTTGCCTGGTGTGCGAATACATTGCCGACTCTAGATCAGATGTGCTGGTCGCCCATGCTTCTGTGAAAGCGAATACATCATATGATGAATGTCTCTGTCCGCCCACTTGCGCGTACAGGCGTTGACTTGGAGTGTGTGTATAGGGCAAATACTCTATCTGCGCACGACTGCGATGCACGTGAGGACTTGGAGTGTGTGTATATAATGAATGTCTCTATGCGCAATGAATACCCCGATGTGCATACCTGCGCATGCACGCGTCGACTTGGAGTGTGTGTATTTGACCATGTCTCTTTGCGCACACCTGCGCATGCACGTGTCGACTTGGAGTGTGTGTATATGATGAACGTCTCTGTGCACACATCTATGCACACACCTGCTCACACACTCGTCGACTTGTTGTGTGCCTATATAACGAATGTCTCTCTGCGCACGCCTGCACATGCACGTGAGGACTTGGAGTGTGTGTGTAGGATGAACGTCGCTATACGCACACCTCCCCATGAACGTTTGGACTTGGAGTATGCACGTGTGGACTTGGAGTGTGTGCATATGATAAACGTCTTTGTCCGCACACCTGCGCATGCACGTTTGGACTTGGAGTGGGTGTATGAGATGAATGTCGCTGTCCGCACACCTATGTGTACAGGCGCGGACTTGGAGTGTGTGTGTAGGATGAACGTCGTTGTGCGCACACCTCCCCATGAACGTTTGCACTTGGAGTATGCACGTGTGGACTTGGAGCGTATGTATATGATAAACGTCTCCGTGCGCACCCCTGCGCATGCACGTTTGGACTTGGAGTATGCATGTGTGGACTTGGAGTCGGTGTATATGATAATTGTTTCTATGCGCACACCCCTGTATACAGGCGCGGACTTGGAGTTTGTGTATATGATGAATGTCTTTGGCGCCCACTTGCGCATACAGGCGTTGACTTGGAGTGTGTGTTTATAGTAAATACTCTCTCTGCGCACGCCTGCGCATGCACGTTTGGACTCGGAGTGTTTGTATATGATCAATGTCTTTGTGCACATATGATGAATGTCTCTGTGCACACACCTGCGCATGCTGCAGGCGTCGACTTGGAGTGTGCATATATGATGAATGTCTCTGTGCGCACACCTGCCCATGCGCGTGTGGACTTGAAGTGTGTGTATATACTGAATGTCTCTGTGCGCAAACCTGCGTATAATTAAGCAAGCACGCACCCATGAGATTCGGGTCTGGCACGAAATCTCAAGTGGTCCAAAAGCAAGCACGCATCTACGCATTGTCTGTCTCCCACCCGCCCCCCCGTTCACCCGTCCGCACACGCACTCCGCCTGCCCGCCCTTACCCACTAAACAAGCACACGCACGCATCTAAGCATCGTCTGCTCCTGCCTGCCCGCCCTCACATCCATCCACACATGCACCCGCCTGCCCGCCCTTCATCTGTCCGCGCACGCACTTCGCCTGCCCGCTTCAAACACACGTATGCATCTACGCATCAGTCACGCCTGTCCACACCTCACCCACTTGTCCATCCGCATATCCATGCATACGCAATGTGTTCCGCTTTGCGTCCATGCAGCGAGAGCAGGAAAAGTAATATGTATCTTCCCCTTCTCTCGTCCACGCCACGCAAAGCACGCATGAGCGAGCACAAGAAAGACAGGCATCATACACGCCACGCGCTAAAATCTCCTCTCCCCATGCAGTGAGTTCCCCTTTTGCGTTCGGACAACGAGAGCAGGAAAGCAGTATGTGTCTTCCCCTCCCTCGTCCACACCACGCAAACCACGCATGAAGCGAGCACAAAAAGAGAGGCACCATCTACGAACACATAGAAAAGCATGAGAAGCATGCCCCTTTCCCCCCATTGAATATCACTCACATGCCCATCTACATGCACACGAGGCTCATACGCAAAAGAAGTAGCCTGCGTCTGTCTATGAGTACACAAAGCTCTCACTTGTGTCCGTCCATCAGTCAGTGTATAATCATCTATCTACAAAAACAGACACGCACGCATGAGGCACGCAATATCCCCTCCTCTATCTTCCAGCTCTCCTGAGGAAGCTAAGGAAAGGGGCTTCCTTGTCCTCGTTAGGGATGAAACTGCCGTCTTGAATAAAAACAGCAAGTTCATGCCACGTGAGGGGGTAGAAGTTGAAATCCTCTTCACCACCATGTGGACAGCTGAGTAATACATGAGTGTTGTTCTCATCGTCTATATCAACCAGTAGCACAATATCCCCTTTCGTGGTGTGTTTGCCGATGACGATAGGCACGATTTCCTTCTTTTGCATCTCAGCGAGGTCCGACTTTGTGGCTTTTGCACTCTCGCCACCCTTCTTCTCCCCAGCCTCCTTCTGAGAGAAGTTGCTCATCATGAAGTGAGAGAGGGATGTTGAAGCAGGGACGGATGGGCAGATGCTTGCCAGAGGGGTGACGAGGGAGCCGAGAGGGATGCTGGGAAGTCGACAGAGGCACAAATAAAGGCGGAAAGGCTTGTCGCGTGCGAGCCTGGAGTAGATTGTGCTACCCATCCGCAGCAGTTGTTCACTAGCCATCCTCGTCCTCCTCCATCGCATTCATCCTTTTTCAGGAAGCAAAGACGAACCTCCTCAGCGAGTGCGAGCTTGTGAGCTAAGCTAGAAGTTCTAGCTAGCAGATGCATATCCCATATACACGCAGGCAGGCAGTGCAGACGATCCTATGAGCCATCACCGAATACAGATCTGTGTTGACAAGGCCTCATAGAGCCATACATATACAAAAAAGACTATAGACTAAATGGCCAGTCTCTCGGCCTGTGTGAAGTGAAAGCACTCTGACTCTGGGACTTACCGCCCAACAGATCCTCTATACAGTTTATTATAGAAGAGGCACTCATCGGCCTTTTCGTACATGGGCGCAGCAACTAAGTTCTTATTCATCTGAGCAGAAGCCCTCGCCAATTGACTGACAGATCCTAACAGGTCTATCAGTGTCTCGCAGCATCATCAGCAGCAGTCAACTATCAGCAGTATCTGAAGAAAGAGAACAACAAAGCAAAGAGCGGAGATAACGTCACTCAATCTCGAGACGAAAGCCACTTTCCCCCTCTTTACCGGCAGGAGTGGTGAGAATGACATTAAGTGGCGCGAATGGGATTTCACTTTGAGAGCCTACTTAGCAGCAAGAGAGATGGACGTGAAGGTCTATCTACCTACCAAGGATGAAGACGTCCGCCGATGAAGATACTCGTGCCGTAAGTGGATGAGAGCAATCAGCGCGTGATGAACCAACACGGACAGCCACTCATGATAGAACAGGACAGCTCTAATGCCAAGAACCTTCGATGGCTGTTCGGCTTTCTCGCCCTGCAGACACCAGACAAGGCCAAGCGATTGATTCAAGAAGCACATCAGAAGCACGGCGAGAATAAAGCATAGGCCTATTGGCGACTTCAATTGTCTCGTCGCCCAGCTACATGAAGTCGAATCGATAGTGCCAGACGAGACGATGGTTGCCGTCATGCTGTCGGCATTGCTTGAGAGATTCGACATGTTCAAGGCAGCCATAGCGTATGAATCAGCATTTCGCGCGTATCGTGGTGAATCACTCAGCTGGCCTCAATTTGGAGAAGCCCTGCGCAACGCGAATTACCGCATGAAACAGCTGAGAAGAGAGCAGTGAGACCGCCAACATTACCAGAGGGGCCGTCCATCCGGCAGACAACATGAGCGTTAAGACCAGCGTGACCAGCATGATGACGAGAGAAAAGGATGGATTGACAGACGGCCTGACAACAGACACAACATCACAAACAAGAACAACAACGTGACTGGATGGAGAAATCAGTGGAACAACACTAACAGACAGAGCAATAATTACTGGCCGTCTGCCTCGTCTAGCTATGTACAACCTCCTGAGCGCACCTGGAATGCTGGTGGGCAGGAGGAGGGAGGAGGACAACAGAAGCAAGCATGGCGCTCAACAAAGCGTCGAAACAAGGATCGCGACATCATCATGAATACCACACGAGCCCGAGTGAACGATAGATGGAATGATTGATGCTCTTCTTGCCAACACGCCAACCAGCTCGACATCTACGATGAAGAAGAACAGAAACAACAGAGCAATGAAGACTTTGCCGATGATTGGAGCAGTCGAAATAGAAGCATTGGTAGATGAGGGGTGGATATGAATGGTGTCTGTTCATCCTCACCTACGGCAATGACGGTAGACACCGGAGCGGCGCGATCATGTTCTTTTAAAGAGCAGCTCTTCAATAAGACAAAGGCGGTTCTGGCACCTCAACATCTATTAGGACCCATCTGATTGTCCAAATGCGACCGATGAGCGACTAGTTGACGTTATGAAGCAGTCACAGACACCATTGGTGGACAACGACAACGAAAAACCGACCGATGTGATGGCAACAGATGTGTTGGTCGTCGAAGTCATCACATAACATCCGCTGCATCAGCGATTCGCCCAAATCAACGAGGCGTACCTCAAGAAGCTACCTGAAGAACAAGATACGCACCAACGGCAAAGGAGAACAACATGGAGACGTCAAGTGTGAAGTATGTATGAAAGCCAAGATGATACGGCTGCCATATGCTGGAGATGCATATCGATATGAGCATGCTGGTGATCTCATCCAACCTGTTGCAGATCAAGCAGCCCAGCGAGAGAGGACACAGGTACTTAATGGTGGTAGTCGATGATACATCAAGGTGGTTGCAGACTTTCTCAAGAAGAAATCGGAAGCCCTGCAGCAGTCATCCACTACTGCACTACAGTTCGCATGCCCAAGGCAGTGAGGACGGATGGATGGGCGGAGCTGATCAAGGGCAAGTAGAAGGAGTTCTGCGAGACACACCAGATATGACAAGAGAGGAGTTTGCCATATCATGAGTCCCAGAATTGAGTGTATAGCGGTTTTACAGAATGCCCTAGGCGACCCGATAGCCTGGTCCTATGCCCGTCCAAACACGCACACGCAACGCGCAGCACGCAACATGCAGCACGCAACACGGAACACGCAACACGCAAGGAGCAGAAGCAAACTGGCAGATCTGCAAAGGCGCTGCAAGAGACGGCCGCATATATGGTAGACACGCAACATCGCATGCACGTCTCTCTAACAGACGGCCGGTAGGGGCGCCCATCCGGCCCTTGACGAAACCCCGGCAACGGCTCTACACATATATTATATTGCCCGCTATCTGCAAACCAGTGCAAGCCCATGCATTAGCCGCACGTGAGCCCTCAACACGAACGCGAAGGAAAAGAGGCGGGGCAGCGACGAGCGGTGTGAGTGCCGCTTCTCTCGGTGGTGGTTAAGGGTAAGATTGTCCGTGTGTCCATGCGCTGGGCCGCTTCTCTCTGTCCACGGCGGCGGGGGCCGTCGTCCCCAGAATAGAGTGACAGACAGCAGTTTCAGAATAGAGTGGTGGAGCGAGCTATTGACGTGATCTGTGCTATGGCGCGTACACTTCTTTTTACTGCCGGCCTACCTGCATCTTATTGGTGTTACGCAACAGCCACAGCGATGTACATAAAGAAGCGAACGCCAACAGCAGCCAATGAAGGGATGAAGACACCACATGAGCTCTTCGTCAGCTATCTGCCTGACGTCAGCCATATCCGCACCTTCGGCTGCAAGGCAGATATCAACCAGAGAAAGGAGAGGATTGGTAAGATGGACCCTCGCACATAAATTGACATTCTACTCGGATACGACCCAGCGACCAAGGACCTGATGTATCTGCCGCATCTGTCATGTGATATGCTGTTTGATGAGACGGTACTTCCTGCACAACAGACACACCCAGAACACTACCAGCTAGCAAGCTTATCTACCTATAGTGGCCTGAGGCGTTTGTGAGTGAGCCCTTACGCGTAGACTTGCGGGAGTGAGAATACGATACACATCTCTGTACGCGCACCTGCGCACGTACGCGTGGACTTGCAGGGGATGTATCTCATGAATGTTTCTATGCGCACAGCTGCGCACGACGTCTATGCTTGCAGCGGTAAAAATATGATACACATCTCTGCACAGACAGTTGCACACCTACGCGTGAACTTGCAGGGGGTATATCTGATGAATGTTTGTGTGCGCACGTGCGCACACAGCTGCGCACATACGCGTGGACCTGCAGGGGGTGTATCTTATAACTCCCTCTGTATGCACAGCTGCGCACGTACGTGTATGCTTGCAGGAGTTCAAATATGATACACATCTCTGTGCAACAGCTGCGGACGTACCTGTGTGCTTGCAGGGGTGAAAATATGATAACATCTCTGTGCACAATAGAACCTCCCCCTCCGCAGCACCCACATTACCACACTGCTCGTCGCTGACAAGCAGATGAAATGAGAGAGTGTGTGCGGGTGCGGCTTCTGGTTCTCTATTGTGTCGGCTACTCTGTTGGTGGCTGTGTGTCTTCGCCGCCTGTTGTGTCGGTAGTGTCGCCAGACACAAAGAAATAGGTCAGATTGCCTGATGATGCATGCAGCGCGTACAACACAGAGGCATACGCATGCTCATGAATCTGTCTGTCTGTCTGTCTGTCTCTATGTTCGCCTGCATACCAGCGGTATAGAAATATGTCCCATTGTAGTACTGCAGCTTTCTTTCAGCACCATCCAGCCCAGGCACATCCACCACTTCCCCCTCACCAGGAATCAACCTACGCACACACACACACACACACACAAGCAAGAACAGCACACATCACACGGACGGTCAGTGTATGTGTGTGTCATGGATGAGCCCACCGACCCAACCCACCCAGAAAGTGTCTGTCTACCGACCCCCTATCATCATCATCACCAACAGCAACACAACTCCAACGCCAACACCAACACTAACAGGCACACCAGCAGGCAGGATAGTTGAAATCGGGTACCGCCACCGAGGAAAGCGCCAAAACCTGGGCCTGTGCGTAAAGGACGGTCGCCACAGGCCTGATGGATGGATGGATGAATGGATGGCAATCAGTGTGACAGACAAACAGACACACCTCACGATCAATGTGTGTACACGCATCTGATGTGTTGCTTACATCCACCTACCTACCGGGCGGCACCGGCCATCTCCTGCAGATTGGCGGCCTCACAGGCACGCGCCGGGGCACATAAACCCCCCTTCTGGCCGGCGAGGACGGCGCGCCACCGCCAATCGAGGACGCACCAGCGCACGCCCCACACCGGGCCGGAATGACTGATTCAATCAGTATACAGACACATACGTGTGTGGGCGACAACAGCATGCAGCCACACACATTAAACACAATGCCATCTATGTATGTATGTATCTCTGCCTGTTGACATACCCACCGCTGGTCGCGGTCTGAATGCAACTGGCCGGGGTCGCACATCTGGACGGCCCACAGCTGGAGGCCTCGGGCGAGCTGCGATTGGCTGAGCAGGACGGGCACCACGGTCCCATTGCCTACGTGGTTGGTGACACATATTCAGATGCACATGGCTCACACACTACACATGCCATCGATCATCCATCGTGTGTCTGTCTGTGTTTGTCACCTTGCCACGTCCTCTGCTCGGCTGGCGAGGTCAGGCCTGATCTGGCCCGACGGGCGGCTCGGCTGAGGCCAGGGTGCTGGCTGCGGCCGTGGAGCGGGGCGCGTGGTCTGGACAGGACGAGAAGGGGCCACTGGACGCGATTGGATGGGACACGAGGCCCCCCTCTCTGACGAAAGGGAGAGCAATGCATCATGTGTGCGTCCTGATGTGTTGCCATCGATGGATGCCCCACACATCACACACACAAAACATAGCCCTCGAAAGCCCCAGCCAAAGCGGGGCGGCCCACGAGGACGGCCCTCCTCGTGGGCCGCACGAGGGTGCTACACCTGAAGAAACAGGGAGCGACACGTACAGGGTGATGATATCTACGTGTACGCGCCAAACACACCTGCTGCGATGAGCATGACGGTGGCCACCAGAAGTAGATGCCATCGCACGAGAGGAGCATAATGGAGTGTGCTCGGATCTTGACAAAACCCTTCCATAATAGAGCAGGGACAGCAGAAGGGGATTCACTGTGTGAGGCCTACTCACTATGCCCCGGGTGAAAGAATGCAGAGGGCCGTCTGCGAGCTCAGGCGATACGACCGGCATAAAGCTCGCATGATACGCGACAGTAATCTGCTGCAGCACGCGACAGTGATGGGTCCGAAGACGAAAGCATACGGCGGCGCATCTGCCGTGGCCAAGGAGGAGTGGGATGCCCTCAGCGCCAAGCTGTGCGGCCGTGTGCTTTGCGAGAAGGATGCAGCATATGAGGAGGTGCGTACGCAAGACCACAGATTCTCATGCATGGTGTCTGCAAGGCACTGGTATCTACAGGCGCGTCTTCAGTGGAATCTTGACCGATTGAAGCGCCCGTCCTACGTCATCCGCTGTGAGAGCGTCAGCGACGTGGAGGTAGTTGCATGGAACGAATGTTGTGTCATCCGGGTGGCGGCTGGCTGCCTGCTTGTGCAGATGGCCGTGAAGTTCTGCCGAGAGCACTCACTTGACGTCACAGTGGCTTGTACGCGAAAACCATCCCGCCCTGCTGTGGCTAGCATGCTGTCTCGTCATGTCGTATGTGTGTGTGTGGTATGTCCCAGCTGGTCGCCATAGCCCGTTCTGCTTCATGGACGAGACGGTGGCCATCGACCTAGAGGGCCTCCATGGCATACACGTGGACACGGAAAGTGAGCTATGAATGAATACATGCACCCATATATGCATGGGTGCTACAGTGGGGGAGGGAAGCAGACACATGCATCATGACAAGACGGATGCCTGATGCATGTCTGTGCCTGCCTGATAAATGTAAACATTCATGTGCCTGTCAGAACGGATTGCTCACGTGCAAGGCGGTGCCCGCTTGAAGCAGCTGGACAGGGAGTGCGCACTTTACGGCCTTCACGTGGTTGCGGGCATCAACCCCAGCACCGGCGTTGCCGGACTGACGCTTGGCGGGGGGTGCGGCTATCTAAGCCCCATGTGGGGCCTGACCATTGACTCGTTCATATCGGCGCAGCTCGTCACTGGTGAGCACGGCATGGGCGGGGGCAGGGAGACAACACACACACATGCTGACTGATTTCCTGTGTGTGGGTGTTTACATACCCTCAGCTGAAGGTGACATAGTGGAGTGTTCAGACGAGCAGCATCCCGACCTCATGTGGGCCCTGAGGGGCTCTGGATGGTGAGTGAGTGATTGAGCTCAGACATGTATTAATTATGTGGGCACTGAAGTGCTCATGTCTCCTCTGTGTGTGTGTGCTGCAGGAACTATGGCATCGTGACGCGCTTTGACTTTTTCCTTCGACCCGTCACAACCGTCTTCACCGGCATGGCGCAGGTATGTGCACACGTGACACGTGGATCAGCCATACGCACCCAGCCAGATGCACGCACTCACTTACGCACGGACATCCACACGCGAATACCTGTGTCCGTGTGGTGTGTTGTTTGTGCATGGGCAGTGGCCACTCACTCACAAGACCAGTTCAATTCTCGCCGAAGTGGTCCGCTTGGGCTACGACGAGTATCCGGAGCTGAGCCTGTCGCTGTCTTTCGCCAACCCAGAGGGCCAGCCTGTGGCCATTATTCAGCCGTGCGGCCTGGACCCTGACAAGGGAGCGAAGGATTGGGAGAGCGTCAAGGCGCGTGTGGGGCTGCCTCCCCCTCTGATGGAGGATGTGGGCCCAAGGCCATATGTGGAGCTCCAAGGCATGATGGAGACACTGCAGCCTCCCAGCCACTGCTACGAGAAGGGGTGGCTCATGAAGGACTTCACACCTGCCGTGGCTGACAAAGTCATCGACGGTCAGCCAGCATACCAGCATATCAGCATAGAAACTTACACATCTGGAGGGAGGGCATGTATCCATGCTGAGTGGATCTTCTTGCTGCCTGTCTGCCTGCGTGTGTGTCTTTGTGCACAGCTTTGACCGAGAGGCCCTTTCCTGGATGCACGCTTGGCCTGGCGCCCTTCGGCAAGGTGGTACGTAGGTGGCGAGCGATCGACCGACCGACAAACACCAACTGCAGAGACAAACGTCATACACGTGTGCATGCGTGTTTTTATGTGTACATGGATGCATGCAGGCGAATACAGTGCCTGACGAGGCAACGGCGTTCTTCAATCGCAGCAGCAGGTAGGTAGGCAGGCAAGTGTGGGTCTGTGGATGGGCGGGTGGTAAACGGGGTGTTACATACATACTGTCAGATTCTGGCTGCTCGTTTTGGCTTTCTTCGAAGAGGGAGCTGACAACCGACAACGGGCAATCGACTGGACGAAACAGGTCCGTCAGTTGTGACAACACAGTAGTAATGTACGCAGTCGACACACGAGTTAATCACCCTGTCTGTCTGTCTGTCTGCCTGTCTGCCTGCCTGCCGGCCGGCCCTTTGTTGCACGCGTGTGCCTGCAGGTGCGCAGTGCCTTTGCCGAGTATAGCACGGGAAGCTATGTGAGCATCGTGGGTGGGATGGAGGATGACCCGATAGAGTCCGTCTACGGAGGCAACCTGCAGCGCCTCAAGGACCTCAAGCGCGCCTGGGACCCTACCAATTTCTTCCACAACAACCGCAATGTCATGCCGTAATCAATCGTGCATGTATGGATGCGGGCAGGGAGATTATGTGTAAGGTCTGCAAATTTCCGTGCATTGACGCGTGCAGCACTGGAGGACACACATACAGGCACATACACACAGACACATATGGGCAGGGGTGTGCTGTGTGTGCAGGGAGGGAGATGTGTGTGTGTGTGTGTGTGTGTCAATATGTGGGTGGTTGTGTTTGTGTCTTGCCTTCTGTTTCTTTTTCTGCATTCATCGACTTGGAGCTGTTTTTTCAGTTATCATCCACGCGCATCTTGCTTGCTGGATGGACGCATGCATCCATGCGTGATCAGTCATGTTTGATGGGGAGAAAGAAGGCAGAGACGCACACATGGGCAGAGAGAGGGGGGGGCCGTATGTATGTACATTTGATGTATGCACTACATGTGTATACACGCGTGTGCATCTCAGTGAGAGTATGTATCGCTGAGAATCGCTGAATCGCTGCAATGTGCAACGACCTTATGCAGTCGTATGCAGAGGCTCATCTATGACTGCCTATATGACTTGTTGAGAGTGGCGTGGGGGGGATGTGTGTGTGTGTCACGACTACACGGCCACTTCGACAATTGTGTTGTTCGTCACGGTGTTGTGTTGTTGTCATCCGATTCACGTATGCATGTGTGCAGTGCTTGCTGACTCAATGCTGGATGTGTGCGTAACCGTCACAATCTCCATGAAGACCTGACCTGGTTGACGTGCGGATTGCCCATACACCTGTGTGTGTGTGTGTGTGTGAATGCTGCACTCATGAAGCATAAAGCATCACAAACACACACCCACGCCCAAGGGGCAGTTGATAATACGCATTCACATGAACAAAGGACATAAATAGAGGCAAGAAAACAGGCAGACACTGTGCTGCACACCGCGCACCGACGCTCACACGCGTGTGTATGTGAAATCACTCATTCACAATGCTAATCCACCGCACTTTTAGCGTGATTCCCCCTCACCCATCGACATACCCTCACCCATAGACCATCGGGTCTCTTCATGGTGGCCTCTCCGTCGTCCGCTTCGCCTTGACGAAGGTTCAAGTCAACCTATTAGCCCACACACTACACCACATATGCCCGCTTGTCTGTATGCTGTGCTGTCTCATCTCTCCTTGTATGCCTCACCGAAGGCCCCAATTTGCTTGGTGTAATCTCGATAATGGGGCGAAACTCCATGGGTTGGTTGATGGCCGGGTGGATGGCGTGCGCAAAGGCGGCCAAGGGCTCATACTGCAGATACCGCACGCATGGCATGCACAACACACACACACCAATACATACACACACGAATGCATACATGCACGTACAGACCTTGAGTGTCTGCAGTATCGAGTCGTATATGTTGCGGTTGTTCTCATCCAGGATGTGCGGCCACTCAAACATCTGTGTGTCTATTTCAGCGAAAGTCAGGCGGGCTGACTCGAGCTTGGAGTGCGTGTATATAATGAATGTCTGTGTGCGCACACCTGCGCTGATGAATGTCTGTGTGCGCAGACCTGCGCATGCATGTCTTGACTTGGAGTGCGTGTAGGAGTGCGTGTATATGAGGAATGTCTCTGTGCGCACCACACCTGTGCATGCACCTTGTAGTGCCTGTATATGATGAATGATGAAGGTCTCTGTACGCGCCACACCTGCGCATGCACCTTGTAGTGCCTGTATATGATGAATGTCTCTGAAAGACCTGCGCACACCTGTGCATGCACGTGTGGACTTGGAGTGCGTGTATATTATAAATGTCTGTGTGCGCACACCTGCGCATGCATGTCTTGACTTGGAGTGCGTGTAGGAGTGCGTGTATATGAGGAATGTCTGTGTGCGCACCACACCTGCGCATGCACCTGTGAGTGCGTGTATATGATGAATGTCTGTGAAACACCTGCGCACACCTGCGCATGTACGTGCGCATGCACTTGTGGACTTGGAGTGCGTGCATATGATCAATGTCTGTGTGCGCACCCCTGCCATGCACGTCTTGACTTGGAGTACGTGTATATGATGAATGTCTGTGAAACACCTGCGCACACCTGCGCATGCACGTCTTGACTTGGAGTCTTGACTTGGAGTGCGTGTATATGATGAATGTCTGTGTGCGCACACCTGCGCATGCAGGTGTGGACTTGGAGTGCGTGTATATGATGAATGCCTGTGTGCGCACACCTGCGCATGCACGTGTGGACTTGGAGTGCGTGTATATTATAAATGTCTGTGTGCGCAGACCTGCGCATGCATGTCTTGACTTGGAGTGCGTGTAGGAGTGCGTGTATCCATTCCGAGCCATGTTGTCAGATTACCTGGCCGGCCGTTGTGTGTACACTGTATGCTACATGCACTGTGGCAACGATGTGTGTGTGGACATGGCCATCTGTGTATGTGGCTCAGTGAACGGACATTCACCTCGCACTCACCAGTGTAGAGTCACGACATCTGACACATGTCGAGGTGGCTCCTCCGATTTCAAGCACGCTCCCATCCTGTGGAGCACTTCGTCCGACAGTGACAGAACGATGAAGGTCATCCCTCGGCGAGCCATCAATTCTCACGTGGCAAATGGCGGGAGGCCGGCATTTCTGAACGTAGCATCTCCGCATCGGCGCCCCTGGCGATGCTCTTCGGACAGTCGGGCTTTCATCTTGAGCATTTGGTGTCACTTTGAATGAAGGATGAGGCGACCACGAGTAGCCAGGAACCAAGGCAAAGGGCTCTTTGTTCTTCTTCATGCGCCGGTTGCCGCATTCATGGAGATCTGCCTTGGCTACTTGCGCCACCTCTACAGCCGGGGTTCCAAGAATACGATGCACAGGTCAGCAGCAGCACCAGGTGCCTCCGAGCGCCGTTTGCAGTGTAGCTGTCTTCCTCTCTTGTGTCTGGAGTAGATCGGCGGCGGGAAGGCGATCCGCATGCGGATTCGAAATGTGAGGGAGCGGGGGGCAACGGCCGGGAGAGACCAGTAGCGCCTCCCCCGCCCGTTACCATCCAGTTGCTCGTCCGGCGCACCTCATCCAGTCGGCAGCTCTCCCTTCTCCCTCTCTATTCTGACTTTTGTTATAATATATATTCCAGGAGGTGAGTAAGCGAGCTGCGTGACCTGGGACATTCGTTCGGTACATCAGTTCGGCTTGTCTGTCCCTTCAGAAGACGAGCAGGACGAGACACCGACGACACCTGTCACTCCCAACGTCAAAGCAGTCCAGTGTCATGGATATTACCTTCTACAATTACTAGTCCCAACGTCGTGGGTGCAGAGACACACACTGGGTGGGTGGGTGGACACACATAGAGAGAGAGAGAGAGACATGCACGCACATATACGTGAATGCATGTGTTTCTCTCTCTCTCACAATGCATGCAGAAGAGGAAGTAGTACCCGTGCGGGACCTGGGTGGCTTCAGTTCCGAAGCGAAGTGCGAGTGTGCCGAAGCCAAGTGCACGGAAGAGGATTTCGAAAGCTGCCGCGAGACCGCCGCAACCACCGCCCACGAGTGCATGGAGGCCCACTGGGAGGACATTACTGCGGACCTGGCGCCCGAGGTCTGCAACCGCTGGCATTATGATAACAGATGGGTAGACAACTACGCCATCACGAACCTTGACAAGCTCCTGAGGGATGCAGTCTGTGCCATGATTGACACGGAGGTGGCAACGCTAAACCGGGCAATGGTGTATGCCGTCACGTATGGCGACCCTGGCTGCGAGAAGAGAAACCTGCTGGGCGACCTGAAGCTCCCGGTGGAATGCACCTGACTAACATGCATAGTGGTTGATTGTCACTCGGTCGGCCAGTCGGTTGTCATTTCCTTTTTTCTGCAATTCATTGTCTGAATTCATGTGTGATTTGCTGCATGAAGGGGGGTTGAGAAATCACGCCCTTGCCTCTCTCTCTCTCTCTCTGTATGCGTGTATATGTGTGGTGTTGCTATTTGCGTGATTATATCGGATGCATGCAATTCATGCTGTGAGAGTCATAGCAACACATTCGTTCGCTCATTCATTCGCCATCCATCCATCCATCCACATGTGCATTCACCACATCATGGATGCGCCAGATGTCGGCCGACCGGACAGACAGACGCTCGACTCGTACACGCTTGTGCTTGCTGTCCTTGTGTTTGTCTGCACCATGCATGCATATATACATATATCCATCCATACAGCCAGCCACTAGCTCATTCTCACTTGGACGCATGTCGTTTGCATGTCTCAGCTTGGCATTTTTCGTTATGTCTCCAGCCTTGCATACCTCAAGTGGGTGAGTGCAGTGAGGAACACACGGAAAGGAAGGATGCATGGTATTTTTGAGTAGGGGAGGGCATGCTCAGAGCTCTGATGGTGTGTTGAGACACGACAGATGTAAGGTGCCTTGACTGAACGACATATGCATCACGGTCGCATGCCTGTTGTCCGTCTGAACGGATAAATATGCACGGATTTGCACATGAACATGCCGATATGCATCAGTATATATAAATGCATCTGCACAGACATGCACCGCCATGCACATGTAGACTTGGAGTGCGTTTATATGACGAATGGTGTGTCTGCACCCCTACGCATGCACGTGTCGACTTGGTGTGTGTGTGCGCACCCCTGCGCATGCACGTTTGGACTCAGTGTGTGTGTATATAATGAACGTCTATATGCGAACCCCTGCCATACACTTGTTGACTGTGTGTGTGCGCATATAATGAACGTGTGTGTGCGCACCCCTGCGCATGCACGTGTCGACTTGGTCTGTTTGTATATTATGGTGTGTTTGTATATAATGAACGTGTGTGTGCGCACCCCTGCGCATGCAGGTTTGGACTCAGTGTGTGTGTATATAATGAATGTCTGTGTGCGCACCCTTGCGCATAATGAAGGGCTTTGTCCGCACACTTGCACATCCTTGTACTGGCTGGTGTGTGCGATGAACGCATTTTCTATCTACTCGCCTGTGCACGCTTGTAGTTGCTGTGTACAATGAATGTCTCTATGAGCACGCCTGCGCAAGCCTATAGTTGGTTGGCGTGTGCAATGAAAACCCTCTCTCAGATGGTGGAAGAAGGCAACTGCGAAGCGCTGAGTCTTCGAAGAAATATCCGTCATGCACATCTATGCATGCAGAACCAAATAGCGATGGCCAAGGGTGAGAGACAGACTTAACCGAAGACCTCGATATAGACGCTGCCGAATACAGAAAAGGCCTCAAGCGAGACGAAAGCATAAGCTCAAAGGAGCCAAACTCCCAGGGCGGCAAGTCCACAACCTTTTTGGTACAGAGGGACGAACGATAAGCGGAGCACGATACAGCTACATTTTTTTCTCAAGATCTAGAGCCGCAGCGATGGGAGGTGGCAAGGCATGAAGTCAGCCCGAATTCGAAGGTGTAGGCCCAGGGCCCAATGGCATAGCGGCGTAAGTTCGAAAGCAATGGCACAGCGGCCTAAGTTCGAAGGCTGCAAACCCAGAACCCAATGGCACAGAGGGATGAATGCTCGAGAGTGTAATACGACTCTACCTTCTCTCAGGGGAGCGGGGAAGGGGAACGGGGGGAATAGTGGAGAAGAGGCGTAATTAATGAATGAACGAGGTCCCGGGATGACCCTATAGCCCTGTGGCGTAGTATCCATGGTCATACAATTTACAGATAGAGATATACCATATTCATCATCCCTTGCTTAATACTCCAGCGCACATGTTGTCCTTACTCAATGCAAACACTTCCATAGGACTGCACCGGGACCATTTCTCGGATTTGCTGAGCCCGCAATTGTATGGGAAGCGAGGATTCGGGTCGTCTGGAGGTCGAATTTACCATCAATGAAAGACTCAAACCTAGGGCATCACGCGAAAGCGCCGTGAGCGCTCAGACGCAGATAGTGCCGTTAAGGGAGAACGAACAAAGGAATGCAGATCCATTTTGCCGTCAGTAAGAATTCGAAACCAGAGCGGGGGAATTATGTCGATGACCGTTCTAGTCAGCACGATGCTGCGCCTCAAGTCAGGGACCCCGGTAGTTTGTGACCGCCTCCTCGCTTACCAGATGAGCTGCAGTAGCAGTTTCACGCAATGCCCTGGGCGGCCCGACGGCCTGGTCCCATGTTTGTCCAGCACGCAACAGGCAACATGGAACATGCAACACGCAACATGCAAGGGGGCAGAAGACAGATCTGCAAAAGCGCTGCGGGAGACGGCAACATATAGGTGCCGCTTTGCGATCGACTGTGCTCATATGGCTCTCCTAGCTCTTAGACGCCTGAAGAGACATTATGGCGAGGTTCTTGCGCTTTTCCCCTACCAGTATTCGAATCTTGGTTCCTGCGGCTGCAACAAAGGCACAGAGTCTGCTACCTGGTATCGGATGGCGAAGAAGCGACGATGCCACGCCCTGGCTGTGTCAACCAATGGCGTTCGTCTCCATACCCCGCGAACAGCTCGCCAGGTGCATGAGGCGGGCCTCTAATGAGTCGGCGGGCGAAGAAGAGGAAACAGAGCGACTCCGATCGCAAGAATGGAGTCAGATGATTTATGAGAAGAAGGGAGAGAAGAGGAGGGATGAGCATACCTTTCGAGCTGTCAAAGAGCCTCGTGCGCCACGAGAGCGCGTCATCAAAAAGACTACCCAAGCGACGAACCCGAACGACTACACTCTTGACCGTGCCAAGGGGACAGTGATCAGCAGCCTCAAGCGGAAGATATTTGTGGATGCCTTGGAGGAATCAAGTCGCCGTAAGTACAACGCCCTGAAGCAGCTAGATCCGACGCATGAGTTCGTGCAACGTACCGATGAATTCATGGAGAACAAGTATCGGACTGCGCAGCGCAGCAAGAATAGCGAAATCACTGACCGCACGAAGAAGGCTCATGAAGACGCCCAGGCAGTCGCATGCGACAATGCCGGGGGTGCAAGGCAAGACGATCACCAGTACGTTACTGCATGGAAGACTGCAACTGAGCTACTTGACGACGTCGGGGCATCCAAGCTCCTCAAAGAATACCCAGCATATTACGAACGAGCTGTCAAGGATCTCAGGGAGCAACAGCTTCAGGTCATTGACTCGAACATCCCCGAGGCTGACCGAGGTATTATATCTCTTTTACCACTACGCGCATTTGACTCATTCCGAGGCATTAAGAGCGTTCTTCTGCCTGGCAACTTGAGCAGCTGGGTTATCCATGAGAAATGTCTTGAGTATCTGAGACGGGACCACAAGGAGCGATGGGGTCAGCCGACGACGTCGTACACGTTCTATGCGTTTGAGGTGATCGAGGAGGGGACGGATCCAAGAGCTCAACATGGTGCGTTCGTATACAAGCCCAGAGATCGAACCATTATGTCTAATCAACGTCGCTCCACCAGGAGCAGTCGCCAATGTGGTCTTTGATACTATCGAACGATCGGGTGGCCACCGAAACGACGATATGTGGATACCGGATGACAAACGTTTTGACGCGTTTCGGGAAGCTTTCTGTAAGGACGATCCTCTTCATTCGGAGGTCACATTTATGGTGCCAAAGGACTACGCGGGCACGATAGCGCCAGGGACTGAGCTTCTGACGGATACGTACAAGCTGAATAAACTCTGGAGCATGCAAATCGCTCCGAACTTTGACTGATAGTAGTGGTTTTTACAGAACACTACTCTCGGAGGGCTTAGTGAGTGAACGAACATGGATGTGTTTTATGTCGGTGAACTTGTTACTCGACTCATCGTATAAGTATGATATTTCAACGGGAGGCCTTTATCTTCTTGAAGCGCATCAGACATCCATTAGTGTCGCCATCAACTCAAGTCAACTTGATGGCTCCCTCGCTTCCACATATTGCATTTCACGCAAAAGTGATGCAACGCTGAGCAATTCATAGCGAGACTCTAAGAATTCCTGCATACTACCAGGCCATTTCATGCAATAACTGACAGACACTCGACCTCCATGAGATCTTTGGGTAAACGAGGGGCAACGAGTGATCGTCTTGAGTTTCATACAAGGGCATGCCGCAGCAGATGCATAATCACAGGCAGCGCGTAACAGGGAAGCAACCATGCAAAGCCGGCACACACAAAAGCACGGTCCATGCAACTGCATGCTCAACGGCATAGAGTGCCAGACATATTCACGCACGGAAGAGGGGCCTCGTGTGAAGCCTGTACGGGCCTCGGTTGATGAAGTCCTCCGCAAAGGCACTGGCCCTAGCAGGTCCCCTCGCGGCTACGGCTCTCTGAAAGCGATTGGCCACTTGGAGTGCATTGTACTTCCTCAGCTCCATGGACAGGAGCTGGCTCCAATGATTGATTACGCTCTCTCGGGAAGATACATCTTCGGATGCTGGGATGGCCGAAGGGCGGGTCTCCTCTTGGCGAGCGTCTTGAGGAAGGCAAGCATCGCGGGCGCCCAGCTGCTGAATGTCTCTGCGGCAAAGGGGACAGAACGGAAGCCTCTGGCTTGGAGAGTGGGGCCGTACTTGTCGTCTTGGCTTTCTCGGCAAAGACATTCCAACCCGAAAGCTGAGCACTGCGCCGGCTCACGTCTCTGTGAGCGCAGAAGGGAGAGGTGTCGGGTCGGCAGTGGTGGGTGATGGTGACATCCAGAAGGGTTCCCTGGCCTTCGGTTACACAGTAGATGTCCATATGCTAGCTGTTGGGTTCGCTGTCTGGCGGTGTGACGCAGAGGTTCTACAGGTGGACATCCATGTGTGCAGCCAGGATGTGGCAGAAAAGGTTGCGGATGCTGTTGTGTCTCACTTCGCTGGCCGCTCCTGTGGCCTAGGAAGTAGTGGTCGCCAAATGGGTCGACCTCCCCTCACAGATGCATTGCACGTGGCTGCGTGTGGGTAAGTGACACTAAGGCATGACTGATGTCTTCACTCTCTTACCTGGATTAACAATGTATTCGGAGCTCACAGATTATCACCCCCTTTGCGACAACTAGACGCTACAACATCGGCAGATTCTCCTTTTGCGTCCTCCTGCTAGATGAACTGCTCCGCAAGCATCCTTACCGATGGACCTACAACATGAATGAGACTGTCGTTCGTCATGGGAAGCGTCTCTATCGCTTGCTTACGGCGCATTCACCATATCCAACGCATTGTCGGGTCGGCAGTGGTGGGTGATGGTGACATCCAGAAGGGTTCCCTGGCCTTCGGTTACACAATAGATGTCCATACGCTGGCTGTTGGGTTCGCTGTCTGGCGAAGTTACGCAGAGGTTCTGCAGGTAGACATCCATGTGTGCAGCCAGGATGTGGCAGAAAAGGTTGCGGATGCTGTTGTGTCTCACTTCGCTGGCCGCTCCTGTGGCCTAGGAAGTAGTGGTCGCCAAATGGGTCGACCTCCCCTCACAGATGCATTGCACGTGGCTGCGTGTGGGTAAGTGACACTAAGGCATGACTGATGTCTTCACTCTCTTACCTGGATTAACAATGTATTCGGAGCTCACAGATTATCACCCCCTTTGCGACAACTAGACGCTACAACATCGGCAGATTCTCCTTTTGCGTCCTCCTGCTAGATGAACTGCTCCGCAAGCATCCTTACCGATGGACCTACAACATGAATGAGACTGTCGTTCGTCATGGGAAGCGTCTCTATCGCTTGCTTACGGCGCATTCACCATATCCAACGCATTGAATTGACCAGATTGAGGGAGATATCGTCAAAAACGAGGGAGATAATGCATTCTCAGGTCGGTCAGAACGGTTTTCGCTAGCAGTCATTCTCACTGATGACATCAGGGATGAAAAATGTGTCTTTCCACTCGCCGGCACACAACTACAGGGCGTGGTGGGCAAGTCGATGGAATGGGCAGGAGAGGGCACGATTTGCTGAGGGTGCTTTGCTAGAGCGGAAGCCTTTCCATCCCCGACGAGTGACAGGATAGGATTGTGTGTTGCACTGCTAGTGATTGTCTTTCGAGCTTCTGTCAATAGCTTCAATCTGTTCCACTGTATGGACACATGGACAATCTTTGACTTAATCACCCACCATAGTTGGATGACCTATATAATGAATGTCTTCATGCGCAGGTCTGCGCATATCTGTAGTTGGAACCTCTCTGCACACGTCTGCACACACCTGTGTGTGTAGTTGAGGGGTCGGATGGCATGTGTGTATGTACCAAATAAATATCCCCCTGACTATCGACGTGCATACGCAGGTAAGCGCACAGAGACGTCATAACACACACCCCACCCAACTATCGTCCAGCTGCCAGCTTTTTGTGCTCTTCAGGGCAGCTTGCTAGCTCATCTGCGTCTGAGTCTTAGATTGATCGTAAATTCGGCCTCCAAACGGCCAAAGTTCTTGCTTTCCATGCAATTGCGGGCTCAGCAAATTCAATAAATGGTCCAATGCAGACCTGTGAAAGCGTTTGCGTTGAGAAATGACAACGTGTGCGTTGTTGTCTTGGGCAAAGGATGAGGAATAAGGCCTACTTCTTCACATACATGAATATATCTGATTATGAATACTACGCCACAGGGCTGTGTGGTCATCACAGAATCATGCTCATTCACTTATTCCGCCCCTTTCCTTAAATTTCGGAAAGCATAATGGAGTTGTGTCGTGCTGCCTCTACCATTCCGTGCCATTGCGTTGTGGCCTTGCAGTCTTCGAAGTTGGGCTGACTTTGTGCCATGCCGCCTCCCGTCGCTGCACCTCTAGATCTCGAGAAGGGCAGTAGAGCTGTGTCGGACTGCCCCCGTCATTCGTCCTTCTACGCCAAAACGTTATAGATCCTGAGAGTTCGGCTGCTTTTCGCTTATCGCTTTCGTCTGGCCAAAGATCTTGTTTGAGTTCGTTCGGCGGCGTCTGTATTGGTGCTTTCAGTCTAGCTTTGAGTGTGTCTCTCAGCACTTGCCATCGCCATTTGGTTCTGCACGGACGGATGTGTGTGTTATGGATGCTTCTTCGAGGATGAGTACTTTGCAACTCGCCTTCTTCCTAGCCAGGAGCCTGAATCGCGCGGAGCTGACGCCCGAACAGCAGCTATCTCAGACAATTGACACGTATGAAAAGTTCAAGGGTGTCCAAATCCGCACGTACGAGGTGAGTACGACGGCAACAGGCAGCGGTACCTCAGAAGGAGGGAAGGGATCATGTGTTCTCTGGTGTTATGTTCAGCGAAAGGACGACGAGGAGATTCACACCGGTAAATCGCAGAGACTTGCACTTGGGAAGACAAGGGGG